ACGAGGAACAACCAACAATGGCATCAACCTGCAAAATGAAAAAATGCTGTTTTTTCTGATCATATCAAACGGTAATAAGATAACACTTTGATTTCTCAGTCTACAGAATCATTACAGCTTAAGATTTGAGGATAAGTACGAGTATGTAGATCAAGTGTGTTTTCAAGAAAAATTCCAGTTTGAGGTAGGAGACGAAATGCGCCCGTCCTATTGTACTCGTTGAAGTTCGGACTTTCAAATCTCTAAAGGAAAGGCATACAAGTCGAAAGGATTTTTCTGATCATTATCGATTCTATCGATCGGTAAAATATGAACCAGAATGGCATGAGGCACATCGCGATATTCACTCCTAGAAAGGACTTTACCTACCTCTTGTTTTGTAAGGTCACCTTTATTAACTTCAATCGTTCCTTTGGCAATATTTGTAACAATTTTATTTTCATTGATTAGTTGCTGTTCATCTTTGTTGCTGATGTTGAGTTGTTGGAGTTGTTTATGGAATTCATTATAGATATAATCTTGCTGTACTTGAATAATAAAATGTACACTTATTTGATTTGATTTATGTGCTTCTTGTACCATCGTTTCAGCAACTACATCGGTAGCACATTTATATTTTCCGCAGCCAATAGCTGGAAATGCAATACTTTGATATTTATCTCTAAGAGCCTTTTGTATGGCAGTGGAAACAAATTCAATAATTGATTGTCGGAGAATGGTGATATCTGATTCTAGTTTCCATGGTAAGAAATAAATCCGTTTACATGGCAGTTGACCGGGGGACGTGGAAATAAGTTTTGTTGCAGCATTATTTTGTGTAGCATCAAGTAACTTCTTATATTCATCTGTTACAGTGTCACCAGCTGCTTTAAGTATTGCTTCTTTTAAATATCTTGATGATGAACAGACGACAATTACATCCACCTTTAATGGGAAAATAGGCAGCGGTGGATCATTTAAACCAGAAATACTATTTATCTTTTCTGCTGTTAAATCACCTTTTCGTACAGATATTAAATTCAACTTGTTCGCTGACTAAATCAGAACCTTTAGATGTAGCAGTGGAATAAGCTTTGAATCCACTTACTATTTGATCCACAAACATAGCGTAACGATTCGGTGAAGCCAAAGTAATTTTGGTGTTAGCACCAGCATAACAGCAAGTTGTAGTTGTCGGCTGATTAGGTGTCGTAGATTTACTGAAAACTTTAGTTACTTTATCCAGCACAGAGCTTGTGGAGGCAATAGACGTTGAATGGGCGGCATACGATAGTGGAACTGGAAATACAGAGGAGTGTGCCTCTGCATTATTGCTACATAAAGTGGTAGATACTGGCAGCGGTGTTCGAATCTTTTTACTTCTATTTTTTGAATCCAAGATTAAAGAAGATAGAGGAGCAACAGTTGTTGGTAAACTATTTCTTCGATGAGAACTACAGTAAACCGTCTTACTTGCTTTTGAATAATTACCAACACCCTCACAATCTATTGCAGCCATTGCATAACGATGTCCGAAACACTGCGTACACTTCGACTGATGCACGTACTGGTTTGTAGCACCATTATTTACAACGGCAATTTGCTGATATCTACCCAAACATGTCAGTTCTTCGATTTTGTAACCAGTTGCTGTTGGTACAGGTGTCCATACAAATGTAACGCTCTTGCTGGTACAATCACCTGTTACTTGTAGGTTGCGAGGTGGTGCAACACGTGGATTTACCGTTTTCCCTCTTGACATTTATCGTTTTTTACAGTGTATTTATGAATGAAAGATGATAAAGTATTCACGTATAAACCAAATTTTGAAGACAACGAGAACAAAAACAAAATAACGAAAATATTCTGCTGTGTCATAAACGTAAGAACAGACCTAGTATTCTCTTTTTTATATTTTGTATTCATATACTGAGTTGGAAACCTTTTCAAACATATATTGACTTTTTTTGTCATTAATGTGTCATCGCACCTTTCTTTTATGTTTCATAGACTGGATTGCTCCATGCAGGCGTTACACAATTCAAATGAGGAAGGATTCCTGATTCGATAAAAACGAAAGTTGCAGATTAAGTGCCTGAATGCTGATCATAATTAGTTGAACACTTTAGATGGAATGAAAAAAAAATATTTGATTTAAAAAAAAAATCAAGTGACGGCGAAATGAATGAGGAAATTATACAAGCGAACGATGCTATACATTCTTGAAAGAACTTTGCATCGAATGGCTCATATTTCATTGGTAGCTTATTTACTTATGGCTTATTTCATGGTAAAATATGACACAGATGGAATCAAACCAAAATGGAATCAAGTGTACAAAGTAAAATCTTTTCCAATTAATCTCTTCTATCTTTTCTCTTACTGGACGATTAAAAAATAT